TAACCTGTAACCTGGTTCTCACCTGCTTGTACCTGCTCCTGGGTATTTTCTCCCATTTCTGACCTGCTATTCCTGGTCCCCAGACTGATTCTACTCTGCCCTATTCATCCTCCTGTCTGTACATAGCTTAGTTAGTTAGTTTAGATAAGTTTGCTCAGCTCATGTTTGGTTTAGTTTGATTCACTTCCAATGCTTAATTTTTATATAGGTTCATTGGTTTTTGTATTTTTTTTTGGAATATCTGGGTGTGTATTTTGATTGTGTGTTATATTGCTTGTCAGTTGTACTGTTTTCCTGTTTTCCAATTAAAGGAGAAATACAGCCAAAGCTCTTTGGCTGTCAGCTGATGTCACTCAGCCGATCCAGGCTGGGGAAAGATTCTGACTTCAAAGTCGGGATCTACCCCACAGTCTGGAGTGGCACCCGGCGATGGGGGGGGGGGGGGGGGGGCAGAGCAGCAGCAGTGACAACTCAGCGATCAGTGGTCATGTGATCGCAGAGTTCTCACCCTTAGAGTGATATCCTAACATAGCACTGGCTGCACAGAAGATCTTTTACTTTGATTGTATTCACTTGTTTTTTCAAGATGCATCCAGATGAGGTATTTTTATTATGCATTACTATCAAGAGAAGAAAGGGAATATTGCAGCCAAATACTACAGGAGCAGACTAGTGAACAGTTGTTGGGATGCATTTGTCCAATTATTTTTTTGTTGATCAAGGCAGAATTTTATTTGGTGAAGTTCATTCCCTGATTAGACTTGCTGTGACTGTGAATTGGGTTTACCCATTAACTCTGGCAGTGATTATTTTTCTTCTCCTTTTAGTATGTCTCATGTTGTCTCTCTGGCATAGTTACTGAAAGATGATAAACCCTACTTAAAACATTATTCAGTATATTCATGAGAGGCTCTACTGGATTGTATAAATGTAGTACATTTTCTAGACAGGCAAACAATGCCATCACCAGCAGGACTCTAGTGTCCAAACCTACAAAAGAAACCAAAGTTTTTTTGCCAGCCCACGATATTCTGCCACTGTCCACTCCTGTCTCCACCACTGTGCAGCCAGATCCCGTGCCATTTCCTGCCTTCTGCCTCAGACATACCTGCTGCCTCAAACCAGCCTGCTTCAATGTCTGCTGCCTCAGACTAGCCTGCCTCCATGCCTGTTGCCCCAGACCAGCCTGCCTCCATGTCTGCTGCCTCATGTCTGCTGCCTCAGACTAGACTGCCTCCATGTCTGTTGCCCTAGACCAGCCTGCCTCCATGTCTGCTGCCTCAGACTAGACTGCCTCCATGTCTGTTGCCCTAGACCAGCCTGCCTCCATGTCTGCCTTGCCCATGTCTGTTGCCCTAGACCAGCCTGCCTCCATGTCTGCTGCCTCAGACTAGACTGCCTTCACGTCTGTTGCCCTAGACCAGCCTGCCTCCATGTCTGCTGCCTCAGACTAGCCTGCCTCCATGTCTGCCCCAGACCAGTGCCTCAGACTGCCTCAGACTAGCCTGCCTCCATGTCTGCTGCCTCAGACTAGCCTGCCTCCGTGCCCTCTGAGGCAGCAGACATGGAAGCAGGCTGGTCTGGGGCAGAGGGCACGGAGGCAGGCTAGTAGTCGTGAGGTTGTTCATGAGGCAGCAGACATGGAGGCAGGCTAGTCTGAGGCAGCAGACATGGAGGCAGGCTAGTCTGAGGCTAGAGCAGACATGGAAGCAGGCTGGTCTGGGGCAGACTAGCCTGCCTCCATGCCCTCTGCCCACAGACCAGCCTGCTTCCATGTCTGCTGCCTCAGACTAGCCTGCCTCCGTGCCCTCTGCCCCAGACCAGCCTGCTTCCATGTCTGCTGCCTCACAACGACTAGACTGCCTCCATGCCTGTTGCCCTAGACCAGCCTGCCTCCATGTCTGCTGCCTCAGACTAGGCGTACTGCCTCCATGTCTGTTGCCCTAGACCAGCCTGCCTCTATGTCTGCTGCCTCAGACTAGCCTGCCTCCATGCCCTCTGCCCCAGACAGCCCCAGCCTGCCCCTCCATGTCTGCTGCCTCAGACTAGCCTGCCTCCATGCCCTCTGCCCCAGACCAGCCTGCCTCCATGTCTGCTGCCTCAGGCTAGCCTGCCTCCATGCCCTCTGCCCCAGACCAGTCTACCTCCATGTCTGCTGCCTCAGACTAGCCTGCCTCCTTGCCTGTTGCTCTAGACCAGCCTCTCTCTATGCCCGCTGCCTCAGATCAGCCTAGTCCTGCATCAGCTGCTCCAGTCCAGCTTGTTTTAGTGCCAGCTGCTCCAGTTCAGCCTATCCCAAGTGCAAGCTGTTCCAGTTCCGGTTGTCTCAGTGCCAGCTGCTGCAGTTCAGGTTCTCTCAGTGTCAGCAGATCCAGTTTTTGGAGCTTGTGTCTAATAATTCTGCCCAACCTGCTTCCATGCTAGCTGCTCTAATTCAGCCTGCTCCAGTTCAGGGCCTGTTGCTGTGCCAGCTTTAAGCCAATCCGTTCCTGAATTAGCCACTGCTCTGACTGCTGACCAACTGGCCATCAATGTAGCAAAGGCATTTATATTTTATGTAGAACAGAATTGCTAGAGGTTGTACTAAATAACCTTCATATAGAACTTACCCAACAACTTCAAGGCGTTAGTGTTGAGATTGTTGATAGCATAAGCAAAAGGAGCTACTAATGGTAAGCAGATGTTCACATCATACATTATAGGGAATTCTGGAAGTAGAAGATATATAGACAGAGCCTCATAGAGAGTTGGAAGAGATTCGATGACTGGAATCAGATCATTTTTCAAGACAGGGCACAACTGAAAGAAAGTATAAAAAAATGTATGTAGTTATTTTTGTGCAAGACAAGAACCTTTTCTGCCAGACAAAAACCTCTTGTATCTTGAATGTATATTCATTTATACACTATATTGCCAAAAGTATTGGGACACCCATCCAAATCATTGGATTCAGGTGTTCCAATCACCTCCATGGCTACAGGTGTATAAAATCAAGTACCTAGGCATGCAGACTGCTTCTACACACATTTGTGAAAGAGTGGATCGCTCTCAGGAGCTCAGTGAATTCAAGCATGGTACCGTGATAGGTTGCCACCTGTGCAATAAGTCATCCAATATTCCATGGTCAACTGTTAGTGGTATTATAAACAAAGTAGAAGCAACTGAGAACAACAGCAACTCAGCCATGAAGTGGTAGGCCACGTAAAATGACAGAGCGGAGTCAGCGCATGCTGAAGCGCACAGTGTGCAGAAGTCACCAACTGTCTGCAGAGCCAATAGCTAAAGATCTCCAAACTTTGTGTGGCTTTTAGATTAACACAACAACAATGTGTAGAGTGCTTCATGGAATGGTTTTCCATGGCCGAGCAGCTGCATTCAAGCTTTAATTCACCAAGTGCAATGCAAAGTGTCAGATGTGGTGTATAGCACGCCGCCACTGGACTCTAGAGCAGTGGAGACATGTTCTTTGGAGTGACAAATCACGCTTCTCTGCCTGGCAATCCAATGGATGTGTCTGGGTTTGGCGGTTGCCAGGAGAATGGTACTTGCCTGACTGCATTGTGCCAAGTGTAAAGTTTGGTGGAGGGGGGATTATGGTGTGGGGTTGTTTTTCAGGGGTTGGGCTTGGCCCATTAGTTCCAGTGAAAAGAACTCTTAAGGCATCAGCATACCAAGATGTTTTGGACAATGTCATGCTCCCAACTTTGTGGGAGCAGTTTGGGGATGGCCCCTTCCTGTTGCAACATGACTGCTCACCAGTGAACAAAGCAAGATCCAGGAAGACATGGATGAGGGAGTTTGGGGTGGTGGACTTTGACTGGCCTGTACAGAGTCCTGACCTCAACCCTACAGAACACCTTTCGGATGAATTAGAGAGGAGACTATGAGCCAGGCCTTCTCGTCCATCATCAGTGCCTGACCTCACAAATGCTCTTCTGGAAGAATGGTCAAACAATCCCATACACACACTCCTAAACCTTGTGGACAGCCTTCCCAGAAAAGTTGAAGCTGCTATAGCTGCAAAGGGTGGGCCAAATTAATATTGAACCCTATGGACTAAGACTGGGATGCCATTAAAGTTCATGTGTGTGTAAAGGCAGGCATCCCAATACTTTTGGCCATATAGTGTATCATAAGTGCTTACTACTTGATGTACTATGATAGCCATAATAATATAATTCTATTGAGAGATTTATATTTTGGCCAATCATAGTAGACTGCATTATCAAACTCTGAAAGAGTAGCCAAACCATAACTGTGGACTTCCCTTGTTTTCTCCCTCTTGTTCTGTTAATTATACCATTGAAAGTGTTTTCTTATATGTGTTCATTAAGTAAAAAACATTATCTGTTGATCCTGCCAGAAATTCAGTGCTGTCCTGTGTTTACACTTTGTTGTTATATTAACCACTTCCCCCCACCCTATAGCAGAACTACTGCTGCAGGGCGGCAGGGCTGCGTGCAAAATCCCATATATGTATATATACATAAACACACACAAGATTTGCATCTCCGGGCCGCATTTGTCAGCTACGGATGTCAATCACCGGGTCCCAGCTGGAGACTCCATTCCGGCACCTGGCGATTGGGAAAAAAGGACATAAATTGAATTTAGATACAGTGTTGCATGACTGCGCAATTGTCAGTTAAAGTAAAGCAGTGCTATATTGCAAAAAATGGCCTGGTCAGGAAGGAGGGTAAATCCTCTGGAGTAGTTAAGTAATGTTATGAAGAAGTATAGTAGGTTAGTGCCACAGAACACTTCCCCTTTGTTATGGAGATGAGAAGAGTGGGTGGCATTCTGTAGCTCTAAGACACTTCAGCACTGGCTTAACAATCAATAACAATCAGCTAAATTATCTATTTCCCCTAAAAATGTCTAGCATGTTTTGTTGGTGCTCATGGATGCATAGATCCTTGGCAGTGGACATCTTTACAAATGCCTTTTTTTAATGTCTGAGCTCACATACTTACTATATCCACAATCCATTTGCTTTGACATATTTTTGTAAATAATTCACTTGCAACGTTAAGGTCCACTATTGGAGATGTGTCCAATGGAGAAGCTCTAAAAGTTGGAGATATAAAAAAACTGGTTTAGTATAGATGGTTAACCAGTATGCTAACTTGTAGCACAAGGAATTGTTTCATAGATTCATAAATAGCAGAATGATAGACTGATGGCACCTAGCAATAGCAAGGTTGCAACATGGTGAAATCCTAACAGGTTGATGAGGACCATGCTAATTCTCATGGTGGCCTACTGGCCTGTTCATGACCACAAAATCACATAATGAACTATAGAAAACATCAAGAAATATAAGCATTACTTCCTTATGTGTGATTTTTATTATAAAACTTACCGGTGTTTCAGAAAACTTGCAGTGAGGCAAGCAGGTGAAGAAAATATCTTAGTTATTAGCCTAAAAAATAGAAATACAGTAAGTCACATTAAGCACCACAGCATGCACTAGCCAGGCTACAACCATGTTATTACAGCTGAAACCAAAACAAAATTCCCACAGTTACAACAGCCTCCATCCTACCAGAGGTATCATGTATGAATGTGAGTTAGGGACTTTATATTGTACACCCCTTAAGGGTTAGGGACTGATGTGAATGTACAATATATATGTAAAGCGCTGCGTAAATTGACGGCATTATATAAGTACCTCTAATAAATAAATGTTAGAAAAATATTGTCATGTTGTGTTCTCAATGGTGCTGTGCTACAAAAGACAAAAAAGGCACAATACAAAATGCCATGTTAATTAACCTGCCACACCACAATTGACAATATAATGTTATGTTACAAAACACAAAATAATTCCATTTTGTAGACTACAGAACTCCAAATATTATTCTTAGTTAAAACAGAATTAAAAATGTCACTTTCCCTGTTGGGTAAAATGAAAAATTCTTAGTGAGTATTAATGGATCACTTCAAATGGTTCAAAGATTAAAGAAGTCAGTTCAATCTCATTATGCCATAAAGGCTAGTAATACAGAGTCAGTCTAATATGTTATATGTGTAATGGGACTGCTATGTTGTTTTAAACAATTGTTTGTTCATATCTGTACACTGATAGATGGATGTCTTTGTTATCTATTTTAAATAAAAATATCTATTTAAAAAGAGTCAAATAATGTCATAAAAGTGCTTTGTAAACCCCCCCCCCCAAAAAAAGTACAATTTAAAAAAACACAAGAAATGAGGTAAGGAATTAATTTCCACAATATTGTAGAGTTTGATGTTTTTAAATAATAATATTACTGTGAATGTTAGTGAAATAAACCCTAATATTTCATGTGAACTTTGTCCCTATATGAGATTTTTAAATGCTAAGTAGAACAGAGCAGTCTGTGTGGCTTGTCAAATAATTGGTGCCTTTCAGCAGTCTATAGCCAATAAGAAATTATTTTATTTTCAAGTATGGTATTACAGAGACCTTTTGGCATCTTGATTCTTCTCTCTCCCAGAGATTGGGTCTGTCCACACTTTTACCATGTCTTTGTCAAGTCGACAGATCTTTTGCAAGTTGTCAATCAGTGCTGTTGTTTTATGGTTCTATGGAATGAATATTAGAACTTTACTGAAAAATTAACTTCTAAATTGACGATAAAACAGAATTTCATGTGCAGGCAGAGAAGAAGGTGTCAATTATTGTCTAAGATTGCATTGCAGGCAAAGCCAGATTCCTAGATCACCCATAGGTCATGGCCAAGTGTAGCCAAGCTGCAAAGGGAGGCACAAGGCTAGTCACACATCATGTTGCTGAAAGTCAGTAATCCATTCCCATATATGATGAAACACTCCAAACTGCCTCTTTGCTAGTGCAATCTAGCTGGGCCTTCATTATTAAGCTAGTCATACATGTTTAGTATTTCCTTGTTCAACCCACAAACTGGAGGAGAGAAAATTGTTCGATTTCCCCATCCATGCTAAACAGCATAGATGGAGGAAACTCACCTGCATGCAGGGGCGGACTGACCATTGCCTGAGGGCCCGGGGTCAGTATGGGGCCCCATGAGATGCCCCTGGTACCTTTAATTGGCTTTTTCATGGGCTTTTTTGGGTGTTGGCAAGGACACAGGGGCCTCATGATCCCCTATTGCCCGGGGGCCCCATGAGTTGTCAGTCTGCCCCTACCTGCATGCTATTGTATTCAGAAAGCCAGCACCCGTGACTGTATGAATATCCAAAGAGTAACTGCATCTGATGCAGTCACTTTTAGGTGGAGAATTTTCCACCCAACTCAGCTGATTTTTTAATCAACTTTTGAGGGTCTCCTGGTGCTCACAGGGCCACCAATGGCTCAGATTTCTGCTGATTCAAGACATGGATGGATAGCATTACTATTCCTGCACAAAACTCTGTGCTTCCAGTTTACAAATGGCCATACCTTTTTGGAACGTTTGATTTTCAAATGGTTGGTTAATTTTAGAGTAACAAGAGAATTCAAAGAAGCAGTGTTAGGAATGGACTGGCCAGCAATGGTGGGACTCACCTGCCTTTTGATCTGCAGTACCAGGGCTGGCCAGCGGGTGCTCCCAGCAATCAGAGACTCAACCTTTCAGCCAGCTAACACCTGGAACTGATGATGCTGGGGTATTTAAGGGATGGCCAGACCCACAGACTCTGCCTTGGTGTTGTGTTTCCTGTTTCTGTCCCTCTGCCTGACCCTCTGTACTACGCTGCTTGTTACCTGTTTTGATCTCTGGCTTGTGACCCTGACCATCCCTCTGCCTGACCCTCTGTACTACGCTGCTTGCTACCTGCTGAACCTGGCCTGTGACCCCGACCATTCTCTGCTTGCTCCCCCTGTACCTACCTGCCCAATTGATATTGACCCCTGCCTGCCTGACGACGCTTGCTTGTATGTACTGTTATCTGTGGGTGGTTTTTGGTTTGTTTGCACTGTATTATGTTTAGTATTGCACTGCGTTTATGTTTGTATGGTTAGTGTTAATAAATTGTATTGTTTATCACATATCTGAAGTCTGCGTTTCCCTGCATCAGTCACACACCTCTGGTCATACCTGGGAGCCCTGACATTACACCAAGGCCAATCCTGACCAGAAGTGGCTGCACAGGGAAGCCATCTTGGCTTGTTGATGGGAAGGATGGATCTTGATGAGGTTGAATATTTATATCTGCTAGTGTTTGATGACAGGGAGTATGCTTATCAAACTCTGAAGGAGTATACCCGGGATGAACTGCTAGAATGTATACGGCTCGCTCATGTTCTAGTAGATCAGGGCACAGAGTTCTCTGAGGTGCAGCCTTTGATTGAGGTTTGTGCTGAGTTGGTTTCATCTGGTTCCCCCGAATGCAGGGAGATGAATTTTTGCCACCATTTAGTGCAGACCAGGTAGAGTCCCTGGTGTGGTTATTAGAGGATGATGTGGGTTACTTTCTGGAGCGTTATTCCACATGTTCACCACAGACACTAAGAGATTGTATAAACGCAGTGCAGTCATTGACCAGACAGGCTTTGTGTAAGCTCAGCTTTGTTCAACCCATACTGCAGACATGGACAGATTTGTTGCACCCAGCCTCAGTCAGCTTACAAAGACCCAGTCCTGCTTCTAATCTATTTCCTCAAAACTCTATTCCTGCATTCCCAACAGCTCCTCCTGCCCTGCTATCTACCGCATGTCAGTACCCTGTTCCCACTCGCTGCACCTATCCTGCCTTTAACCCTGTAAAAGAGCCCTCTGTAGCAACCGCTCCCTCTCCTGTTCCATCCTCCAGTTCTTCTCTGTCTCCAGCTGCTCCATTCGTTTGCAGACCTGCGTTTACTTGCAGTGCTCCAGTAGTTAAAACCAGAAAAAAGCGAAAATTCTTTCCAACCAATACCATCCTGCCAGTATCCAAACCGGTGAGCCTGCCTTCCGTGGTTCAGCCTGAAGCCTCTACTCAGCCTGAAGCCTCTACTCAGCCTGAAGCCTCTACTCAGCCTGATGCCTCTACTCAGCCTGATGCCTCTACTCAGCCTGATGCCTCTACTCAGCCTGATGCCTACTCAGCCTGATGCCTCTACTCAGCCTGATGCCTCTACTCAGCCTGATGCCTCTACTCGGCCTGATGCCTCTACTCAGCCTGATGCCTCTACTCGCCTGATGCCTCTCTACTCGGCCTGATGATGCCTCTACTCGGCCTGATGCCTCTACTCGGCCTGATGCCTCTACTCGGCCTGATGCCTCTACTCGGCCTGAAGCCTCTACTCGGCCTGATGCCTCTACTCGGCCTGATGCCTCTACTCGGCCTGAAGCCTCTACTCGGCCTGAAGCCTCTACTCGGCCTGATGCCTCTACTCGGCCTGATGCCTCTACTCGGCCTGAAGCCTCTACTCGGCCTGATGCCTCTACTCGGCCTGAAGCCTCTACTCGGCCTGACTCGGCCTGCCTCTACTCGGCCTGATGCCTCTACTCGGCCTGAAGCCTCTACTCGGCCTGAAGCCTCTACTCGGCCTGAAGCCTCTACTCGGCCTGACTGATGATGCCTCTACTCAGCATGATGAACTGATCCAGCCTGACGATCCTATTAGGCCAGTTGACTCGATGCCCGCTGTTGATCCAGATGATCCGGTACCTGATCCGGTGCCCGCTGTCGAGCCAAATGACCTGATGCCTGGTGACCCAGTGCCCGCTGTCATACCTGGTGACCCGATGATGCCCGCTGTCGAGCCAGACAATCCGGTACCTGATGACCCGGTGCTCACTGTCGTGCCTGTTGACTCGGAGCCCACTGCCTTGCCAGATGACGCGGTGCCCGCTGTCGAGCCAAATGACCTGATGCCTGGTGACCCAGTGCCCGCTGTCCAGCCAGACGATCCAATGTCTGACCCAGTGCCCGCGGTCATACCAGTTGACTCGGAGCCCACTGCCTTGCCAGATGACGCGGTGCCCGCTGTCGAGCCAAATGACCTGATGCCTGGTGACCCGATGCCCGCTGTCCAGCCAGACGATCCAATGTCTGACCCAGTGCCAGCGGTCATCCCAGTTGACTCGGAGCCCACGGTTGTGCCTGGTGACTCGGTGCCCGCCGCCCCCCCCTGGGGGCCTGAGACCTGTCGTTCCGCCTGGGGGTCCGGCGCCCGCCGCTCCGCCTGAGGGTCCCGAGACCTGTCGCTCCTCCTGGGGGTCCGGCGCCCGCCGCTCCGCCTGAGGGCCCGAGACCTGTGTCGCTCCTCCTGGGGGTCCGGCGCCCGCCCCCTCCGCCTGAGGGCCCGAGACCTGTCGCTCCGCCTGGGGGTCCGGCGCCCGCCGCTCCGCCTGAGGGCCCGAGACCTGTCGCTCCACCTGGGGGTCCGGCCCCGCCGCTCCGCCTGAGGGCCCGAGACCTGTCGCTCCGCCTGGGGGGGGTCCGGCGCCCGCCGCTCCGCCTGAGGGGCCCGAGACCTGTCGCTCCTCCTGGGGGTCCGGCGCCCGCCGCTCCGCCTGAGGGCCCGAGACCTGTCGCTCCTCCGCCTGGGGGTCCGGCGCCCGCCCGCTCCGCCTGAGGGCCCGAGACCTGTCGCTCCATCCGCCTGGGGGTCCGGCGCCCGCCGCTCCGCCTGAGGGCCCGAGACCTGTCGCTCCGCCTGGGGGTCCGGCGCCCGCCGCTCCGCCTGAGGGCCCGAGACCTGTCGCTCCGCCTGGGGGTCCGGCGCCCGCCGCTCCGCCTGAGGGCCCGAGACCTGTCGCTCCCCGATCTGGGGCCGGCGCCCCGCCGCTCCGCCTGAGGGCCCGAGACCTGTCGCTCCCGCCTGGGGGTCCGGCGCCCGCCGCTCCGCCCCCTGAGGGCCCGAGACCTGTCGCTCCGCCTGGGGGTCCGGCGCCCGCCGCTCCGCCTGAGGGGGCCCGAGACCTGTCGCTCCATCCTGGGGGTCCGGCGCCCGCCGCTCCGCCTGGGGCCCGAGACCTGTCGCTCCGCCTGGGGGGGGGGCGCCCGCCGCCCCGCCTGAGGGCCCGAGACCTGTCGCTCCGCCCTGGGGGTCCGGCGCCCGCCGCCCCGCCTGAGGGCCCGAGACCTGTCGCTCCGCCTGGGGGTCCGGCGCCCGCCCCGCCTGGGGCCCGAGCCTGCCGCTCCGCCCGGGGGCCGGCGCCGGCGCCCGCCGCTCCGCCTGGGGCCCGAGACCTGTCGCTCCCCCTGGGGGTCCCCGGCCGGCCTGCCCGCCGCCCCGCCTGGGGCCCGAGCCTGTCCCCGCCGCCTGGGGGCCCGGCGCCCGCCGCGCCCCCGCCTGGGGGCCCGATGACCTGTCGCCCCGCCTGGGGGCCCGATGCCTGCCTCGCCCCGCCCGGGGGCCCGATGCCTGTCGCCCCGCCCGGGGGCCCGATGCCTGCCCCCGCCTGGGGCCCGATGCCTGCCGCCCCCTGTCGCCCGGGGGCCCGGTGCCTGCGCCCCGCCCGGGGGGCCGGTGCGCCTGCTGCTGCCCGCCCGGGGGCCCGGTGCCTGCTGCCTGCTGCCGCCCCCGGGGGCCCGGTGCCTGCTGCTCCGCCCGGGGGCCGGTGCCTGCTGCTCCGCCCGGGGGCCCGGTGCTGCTGCTGCTCCGCCCGGTGGCCCGCTGCCTGCTGCTTCCCTGCCCGATGTGCCTCTGCCCGGTGTCCTGCCCGGAGTCCTGCCCGATGTGCCTCTGCCCGGAGTCCTGCCCGATGTGCCTCTGCCCGGAGTCCTGCCCGATGTGCCTCTGCCCGGAGTCCTGCCCCGATGTGCCTCTGCCCGCCCGATGTGCCTCCTGCCCGATGTGCCTCCCGATGTGCCCGATGCCCGGAGTCCTGCCCGGTGTGCCTCTGCCCGGTCTCTGCCCGGTGTGCCTCTGCCCGGTGTGCCTCTGCCCGGTGTGCCTCTGCCCGGAGTCCTCTGCCCGATGTGCCTCTGCCCGATGTGCCTCTGCCCGGAGTGCCTCTGCCCGGTGTGCCTCTGGTGTGCCTCTGCCCGGAGTGCCTCTGGTGTCCGCCCGTGTGCCTCTGCCCGGAGTCCAGCCCGGTGTGCCGCTGCCCGGAGTCCTGCCCGGTGTGCCAGTCTTTGATATCCCGCCAGTTACCAGACCCGGGCGGTGGAACATTTTGCCCAGCTAGGACTGTTTGGAGCGTCCTGAGGCCGCTCCTTGGGGGGGGGGGGGGGGGGTACTGTTAGGAATGGACTGGCCAGCAATGGTGGGACTCACCTGCCTTTTGATCTGCAGTACCAGGGCTGGCCAGCGGGTGCTCCCAGCAATCAGAGACTCAACCTTTCAGCCAGCTAACACCTGGAACTGATGATGCTGGGGTATTTAAGGGATGGCCAGACCCACAGACTCTGCCTTGGTGTTGTGTTTTTGTCCTGGGCCCTGTATCTGTCCTGCATCCTGTTTCTGTCCCTCTGCCTGACCCTCTGTACTACGCTGCTTGTTACCTGTTTTGATCTCTGGCTTGTGACCCTGACCATCCCTCTGCCTGACCCTCTGTACTACGCTGCTTGCTACCTGCTGAACCTGGCCTGTGACCCCGACCATTCTCTGCTTGCTCCCCCTGTACCTACCTGCCCAATTGATATTGACCCGGCCTGCCTGACGACGCTTGCTTGTATGTACTGTTATCTGTGGGTGGTTGGTTTGGTTTGTTTGCACTGTATTATGTTTAGTATTGCACTGCGTTTATGTTTGTATGGTTAGTGTTAATAAATTGTATTGTTTATCACATATCTGAAGTCTGCGTTTCCCTGCATCTAAGTCTCTAACTGAACTATCAAATGTGCTGCGGAGATTGTTTGTTTGTATGGACCCTTGTAAAATATACCAGAGTATGGATAACTTAAGGTAGCAGTTTGCCTTTTCTGTTCTAGTTGTTTGTTCTAGGTCAGAGGTCCCCAAACTACGGCCGGTGGGCTGGATATGGCCCGCCAAAGATGTTTAGCCGGCCCGTCAGGCCAGCCGGTACAAAAAAAAATAAAAAAATCGGGAAAAAAAAGGCTGCTCGCTGGGTCCTCAGCCATGAGAACTCAGTGAGCGGCAGCCTGGAAACCCAGAATTTCACCTGCTGCAGCCAGTGGAGGAACAGGAGAGAAGGAGCACTCACCAGGTAGTGTGCATTGCGGTGTCCAGTGTGTCAGTACACAGTGCGTTAGAGTACAGTGCATTGCAGTTTCAGTGTCCAGTGCATTGCGTGTCCAGTGTGTCAGTGTACAGTGCATTGCGTGTCCAGTGTGTCAGTGTACAGTGCATTGCAGTGTCCAGTGTGTCAGTGTACAGTTCATTGCGGTGTCCAGTGTGTCAGTGTCCAGTGCGTTACAGTGTATAGTGCATTGCGGTGTCCAGTGTATCAGAGTACAGTGCGTTACAGTGTACAGTGCATTGCGGTGTCCAGTGTATCAGAGTACAGTGCGTTACAGTGTACAGTGCATTGCAGTGTCCAGTGCGTTACAGTGTACAGTGCATTGCGGTGTCCAGTGCGTTACAGTGTACAGTGCATTGCGGTTTCCAGTGCATTACAGTCTACAATGCATTGCAGTGTCAAGTGCATTACAGTGTACAGTACATTGCAATGTCCAGTGCATTACAGTGTACAGTGTATTTTGGTGTCCAGTGCGTTACAGTGTACAGTGCATATTGGTGTCCAGTACGTTACAGTGTACAGTGCATTGCAGTGTACAGTGCATTGTGGTTTCCTGTACATTACAGTGCCAAGTGTGTTACAGCGTAGAGTGCATTGAGTTGTCCAGTGCATTAAAGTGTACAGTGCATGGCGGTGTCAAGTGCGTTACAGTGTACAGTGCATTTTGGTGTCCAGTGTGTTACAGAGTACAGTGCATTTTGGTGTCCAGTGCGTTACAGTGTACAGTGCATTTTGGTGTCCAGTGCGTTACAGTGTACAGAGCATATTGGTGTCCAGTGTGATACAGAGTACAGTGCATTGAGTTGTCCAGTGCATTACAGTGTACAGTGCATGGCGGTGTCAAGTGCGTTACAGTGTACAGTGCATTATGGTGTCCAGTGTGTTACAGAGTACAGTGCATTTTGGTGTCCAGTGCGTTACAGTGTACAGAGCATATTGGTGTCCAGTGTGATACAGAGTACAGTGCATTGCGGTGTCCAGTGCATTACAGAGCAAAACTGCATTGCGGTTTCCAGTGTGTTACAGTGTACAGTGCATAGCGGTGTCCAGTGCGTTACAGAGTACAGTGCATTTTAAATATTATATGTTTTTTCCTGTTTTTTTGCAAATAAGATATGTGCGGTGTGCATAGGAATTTGTTCATATTTTTTTCAAACTATAGTCCAGCCCCCCAACAGTGTGAAGGTCTGTGGACCATCCCCCTGTTTACAAAGTTTGAGGACCCCCTGTTCTAGGTACATTGGCAAGGAACAGAAGTTAATTCTAATATTTTCTATTTAGCTGTTTAGCTCTATCTATATACATTTTTTTTTTCAAGAAAATGTCAAATTGTACACGATCATTGCCACTGGAACTGGATTGCAGAGATGACAAATGAAAAAAGTCCCAAGAAGCAGATGGGTCCAAGCATCTTCGTTCTGAACATTCTTTCCAGGGGAAGAAGATAAACTGTGAAGCCAATTACTATCAATAATTAATGGGACTTGAGTGCCGGTTCACATATGGATTGGATGCAGTTTTAATGGCATCCAATCTATATGACATGTGAAATAACATTGCTTCCCATGGTGCCTGTTCACATATGTCTGGTGTACTGGCAGTGTGGATTCAGTGCAGATTGAAAAAGAGTACTGTCTCATTTTTGAGCAGTACGGTCCAGTTCAGGTGCTATTACAGGCTATTGATTTCTATGGGAGACGCTTCTAAACTGCACATGACAGCAGTTGTGAACAGGATAAGATCCGGACCTGAACCTGATCTAAACCTGTCTTGAACCTAATCTAAACTATTTTGTCAATTAGCTGTGAAAACGGAGCCTCAATTTGCACTGCACATGCATGAATCCACACTGAGAGTTGCTATTGCATACAACATTATTTTGCACTGTATGTACAATTTTAATTTGATATACAGATAAAAACGACCACACATGAGCAAATCTCTTACTGAGAATGACAACTGTATTTGTAGTTAAACTTCAAGGGTTCTTCAAAAAGCTTCTGCGCTTCTTTTTAACTTACTGTACATATATACTGTAGATATATGTATAAAAGCTTTTGAAGACCCCTTGTACATGCCTGCAAAGGAAATGAAACCTCATCAGTCAGAACTATTTTACCAACACTTTCAAAAACAATTATTGCTCAGGAATTAAAAAATAAGTTCACTTTATCGAAAAAAAAAAAAGAAATTACAATTACAAACACATACAACAGTAAACAGTTAAACTACTCACACTAACATGGTGGGGTACAACCCAGAAACTGTTTAGAAAAATCTGGGGGCTTACATGGGGCATAAGAATAGCCATGAAATAGTATATGGCATATCCCGATTATCAGCACAATCACAAATCACTGCACAAAGACTTTAAATGCAGAAACTAGGGGGCATCTCATTATTTTTTTAAAAGTGAACCAATCTTTTAACTCAAACATTGAATTGCATTTAACTGGTTATGTAAGACAACCCTAAAACAGAAAGGTGTTTGAAAACAAAACCTGTGTTTGAAGAGAAGATGTTGCAAAGCTGACATAGTTTCCAGCAAAGATCCGTTTGATATGGATGTTCACAAAGTCTGAAAGGGAAACATTACAATGTCAAGTGATGCAGTCTATCTGTGAAGAGGGGTCTGTTTTGGGGTGGTCAGTCTGTGTTGAGGGAGAGTCTGTACTGAGAGGTTTGTGCTGGAGGAGCTGTACTGATGTGGTAGGCTGGGAGGGGGGATATAGGAATGTTAGGAGAGATCTGTACTTTGAGGGATGATTTGTAATGGGAGGAAGGGGGTTTTGATTGTACTCTGTAAAGTGGTCTGTGCGTTATGTACTCCTGACCCCTGCACTATAAACAGGGGAATTAATCAAAACTGGAGCAGCCAGAATCTGGAGTAGGTTGACTGATGTCACGCACAACTGCTCAAGGTTCTGTTTTCTCCAGTTTTGAAAAATCCTCCCCCCCCCGCCCAATGTGTTTTACATTTCATACTCCTGACCATTGAGAATTACCCCTGTAAGGTAGGCTGTGTGTAGAAAAGCATATGTAATGGGACAGTTTCATTTTATAGAACATATAAAGCATATTTTGTAGGTAAGCACAATATGGTCACAAACACAATTCACTACTTTATTACTTCAGACCATTCTGGAGAGGAGGGGAATTGATTGTCCCAGGTGTCAGATCTGCTAGACACACAATTGCTTCTTTGACACTAAGTTTTGCTGGACAGTCTTCATTGTGGCCATTGCTGTGGCATATTGCTTCCTTTTTTATGATAATAATGGAATAAATTGTGCTGTGATTTTTTAAACACATCCTTAAAGAATATATAAACCGAACATGTCATATTTGTGATACGTGCCTGTTGTACCATGTATTTGTATGAAAAAATATCCTGTTCTCTTGTATTGCTTCCTTTGTGTGAAATCCCTGGTATTCCTGGCAGTCCCTCTGCTTTCCTATTAAAACTGACCATACTAGGCAGGAGAGCACAGTATGGCCAATTCTCTAGCTGTACTGAGAACTCAGCCTGCTCTCATTCAATGATCAGATCTGTGCTGACAAACACTCCTGCTGCACAGCCATTCACTCTGAAGATCAGTCGGTTGCCGTTTCTCCTCCCCCAGCTCTCTGAGCTCCTTATGCTGCTAAGAACAGAGGGTATGCGATCACTAAAAAAGGGGAAAAGGGTATTTATAGTGTATTTTATACGTATGTATACATACAGTGCTCAGCATAAATGAGTACACCCTAACAGATTTGTCAGAAAACTTTCCTTTCAGAATCAACATTTTTTTATGGGACACTATACTAAAAAATACTCCCACAAATGCAGCCAATTGATTGCAAACAAGATTTGTTAATTTGCACACACAAAAAAAAGTATTTTTCCTAACAAATTAATTCAAGACCATGTTGCAAAAATGAATAAACCCCAATGAAAGTCTTAGGAGCAAAGATAAATTTTAGACAACAAAATCCTAATCACCAAGTCTAATTATTCATTAAACAGGTGTCCATCAGATAGTTGATTATAAAAAGGGTGTTACTTAACAAAGAAAACCCCTTCCCATTTTGTGCTGTCAGCCATGGCACCACATGGAAGAGGAAAGGCTGAGAAAGAAAATAATTTATTTACACAAAAAAAGGTAAATGCTACAAGAAGATCAGCAAAGCTTTACTTATCAGTCAGAATACTGTAGCAAACGTGATACAAAAAGTTAACAAAAATGAAACTGCAACCATCTCAGAGATGTCCAGGCCGTCCATGGAAGTTAACACCTCGATAAAAGCGTCTTCTGATGAGAAGGGTTAAAGAAAACCACCATGCAAGTTCACTGCAGTTAGTTAAAGAAGTAGAAGCCAAACTGGGGTGACTATTGCTGTTGACACAATACAGTGTACACTGCAGAAGAATGGCATTCATAGGTGCAGTCCACAAAGGAAGCCTCTCCTAAAGCCCATGCACAAAATAGCCGGCCTAGAATTTGCCAGGGCCCATGCTGAAAAAGAAGAAGACTATTGCGACTCAGTACTCTGGAGTGATGAGACCAAGATAAATGTTTTTGGAACTGATGGCTGCAAATCTCTATGGCGTCGCAAAGCTGAAGAGTACAAAGAAAAATGCATGGTGCCTACAGTGAAACATGGTGGTGGCAGTGTCCTTCTGTGGGGCTCCATGAGTGCTGCTGGTTTCGAGGAGCTGAATTATATTGATGGTATCATGAATTTACAGATGTACTACTCTATATTGAAAGAGAAGATGCTACCATCACTCCATGCCCTTGGTTGTCGTGCACTTTTCCAACATGACCATAATCCAAAACACACATCTAAGGCCACTGTTGCATTTCTGAAGAACAGGGTGAAAGTGATTCAGTGGCCAAGTATGTCTCCTGATCTGATCCCAATCAAACACCTATGGGGAATTCTGAAGAGACAAGTTGAGCATCATTCTCCGTGCAGCATCCAGACTCTAAAAGAGGTCATTCTTGAAGAATGAATAAAGAATGGAAAAAGATAATGTTGCAATATGTTGCCAACTTGTTCATTCCATGCCTAGAAGACTGGGTGCTGTCATAACAAATCATGGAGGTCATGAAAAATGCTAGGTGTAGTAGTTTTTGTTGTGAGGTGTATTCATTTTTGCATCAACTAGTATTAGTAAAACTGAAGATTTTGTAATCTAAGTTATATTATTAACCTAACTTTCATGTAATGAGCTAAACAAATGTTCTATAAAACTCAGTTTTGTCAAAATTTTGGAAATTGTTCTTGTGTTCATTGAGATATTGATTAAAATCTTACTTTTCAAAAGGGGTGTACTCATTTATGCTGAGCACTGTAAATAATTTGCCTTTCATTTTTATTTTAAAGCGAACGGGTTGTTTTACAAGGTGAGGGTTAACATAACATTTAATTGGTACTTCTCTGGAACTTTTTTCTGAGATAATATGATAATTGTAGTGTACACAATAGGACTCCATTCAGTCTCTGATGTGACTTTTCAAGGCAGTTTATTACACCACAGCTTACATTTGGACATTTTAACTATTTATGAAACACAGTCAGTTTTTTTGAAAGACACTTTAAAAAAAAAATCTGAATTTTATTCACTATTTTGGACTATTTGGATAAGAAACACAATATCTTATATCTTTTAATTCCAGATCCTAGCAGCACAAAATGTAGAAAGATCCAAGGGGGTGAGTATTTATGCAAGCCCCTGTAATAATTCTAGTAATCTTGTGTTTGATATTTTTTGTCAATTTTCTAAAATATTTTAAATTACGAACTGGCCAATTATTTCCTTTCAAAATATTACATGCAATCAAACAAATTGTGATATGAAAGCTTGAAAACAAGATTTTTAGGTTGTGTTGCAATATATAGTACTTTCAGAATGAAGTGATAAGTTAATAAAATATACCGTATTGTGAGACATAAATATGACACTGAAAGCAAAGGTGTTGTACCTTTTGGACAGATTAGGCAACTAATGTCTAATTCCCCTGGCTCCTGTGGAGGTTGACTTTTATCAGTGCTGGAAGTTTCTAGTTTTGCTTGCAGCCCACGACCAAAGGACACAATGCAGTTAGAAGTAAAGACATACAGTAGAGTGTGGTAGCTGAAACCATAAAACATACTTCTGCTTAACAATATCATTGCTATATTTACCTATAAAACAGTTTAATAGTTAAGTGATATTTTGTGTGTGTCATTCAGATTCCTCTCGAGTATCAGTGTTGGTCATGCACAGTTAGAGCTATGATCTACCACAGTGAAAGTCTGCCCATATTAACAGCAATCATTGCTTAGGCTTGGTTCACGCTAGTGCGGGTGGGAGCCACACTTTATCCCGCACCTGCAACCACCCACTCACAAAATGCGAGACCCATGGGTGGGTTCCATTAATCTTAATGGCATGCAGTCCACACTTGGAACAGGTCAGAGCGGGTGGGAGGATTATGGTTGTTAACCCTGGGAATTATGCACATGTAGTGTAATCACTGTATGGGCAAAGAGAAGTATGTGTGCTGTCTCACATCCCACAGGCTAGGTTGGACCTGGAGGGAATCTTCAGCAGTTTTCTAAAGAAAAATAACCACATTCCCTCCATCAATTAGGTGCAGACACAGTGCCAGTTTCTATTTCACTCTGAAATAGAAATTGGTGTGGGTGGCACAGATAAACCTGAAACAGGCGCACATCCCTTCTGACAGTTTATAATGGCACAGGAAGCTTAGTTAATTCCACAGATTGTGTCTAATGACTTAGTAAAAGAATAACCAGGTGTAAGAGTAACCAGTAAAGCTTACTACAGAAATCACTTTTTTCTACACTATTTGCCAAAAGTATTGGGACGCCTGCCTTTACATGCACATGAACTTAAATGGCATCCCATTCTTAGTCTGTAGGGTTCAATATTGAGTTGGCCCACCCTTTGCAGCTATAGCAGCTTCAACTTTTCTGGGAAGGCTGTCCACAAGGTTTAGGAGTGTGTCTATGGGATTGTTTGACCATTCTTCCAGAAGCGCATTTGTGAGGTCAAGCACTCATGATGGACGAAAAGGCCTGGCTCACAGTCTCCGCTCTAATTCATCCCAAAGGTGTTCTATCGGGTTGAGGTCAGGACTCTGTGTAGGCCAGTCCAGTTCCTCCACCCAAAACTCGCTCATCCATGTCTTCATGGAAGTTGCTATATTCACTGGTGAGCAGTCATGTTGGAACAGGAAAGGGCCTTTCCCAAACTGCTCCCACAAAGTTGGGAGCATGAAATTGTCCAAAATGTCTTGGTATATTGATGCCTTAAGAGTTCCCTTCACTGGAACTAAGGGGCCAAGCCCAACCCCTGAAAAACAACCCCACACCACAATCCCCCCTCAACCAAACTTTACACTTGGCACAGTGCAGTCAGGCAAGTACCATTCTCCTGGCAACTGCCAAACCCAGACACGTCCATTAGATTGCCAGAAAGAGAAGTGTGAATTGTCTCTCCAGAGAACAAGTTTCTACTGCTCTAGAGTCCAGTGGTGGCGTGCTTTACACCACTGCATCCGACACATTGCATTGCACTTGGTGATGTAAGGCTTAGATGCAGCTGCTCGGCCATGGAAACCCATTCCATGAAGCTCTCTATGCACTGTTGTTGTGCTAATCTGAAGGCCTCATAATGATTCGAGGTCTTTAGCTTATGACTCTGCAGACAGTTGGTGACTTCTGCACACTGTGTGCTTCATCATGCACTGACCCTGCTCTGTCATTTTATGTGGCCTACCACTTCATGGCTGAGTTCCTATTGTTCCCAATTGTTTCCACTTTACTATACCACTAACAGTTGACCGTGGAATATTTAGTAGCAAAGGTATTTTACGGATGGACTTATTGCACAGGTGGCAACCTATCACAGTACCACGCTTTAACTTACTGGGTTCCTGGGAGCGACCCATTCTTTCACAAATGTTTGTAGAAACAGTCTGCATGCCTAGGTGCTTGATTTTATACACCTGTGGCCATGGAAGTGATTGGAATACCTGAATCCAATGATTTGGAGAGGTGTCCCAATACTTTTGGCAATATAGTGTATATACTAAAATGTTTCCATTCCTAACAAAATATTAATTTTATAGTTTGCTCCACACCTTCCACAAGCTATCTGTGAAACTTGTCCTTCATACTCTTCAATCTTCTGAGGTTCTGCTGTGTTACCCTCCACATTCTTTCCTAGCTGTCCATGGCTGCCATCACCAAATGTGTACACCGTGCCATCCTATAAAAAAAAAAAAAAAACATTGTCATCAACTGTCTGCAAATTTGTTCTTGTTTTAAAGAAATAAGTAGTGTGTTTGATGTAGTAAATTATCAACATTGTGAAATGCCAAACTACACCTTCTAGAGAAAGCAATGTTAAAAGAAATACAGTATAGTCTTGGAAGAGAGACGCATAATATTCTATCTTTAAAAAAAGTATTATTGAAACCACATTCTAATTAGAAAGGATTGAAAAAGTGTAGAGATGGGCAGTTCAATTAATAAGGGTGATTTAGGATCTCAGTTATGAGGAAACTGAACTGAATTTATTCTTCTATGAGAAGGGTTTTAATTCTTCCTTTATTTCCTAAAAAATATTGTCCCATTGGGGAAAATTTCCCTACTCCTTCCTGTTCTGACACCCATCAAATGTACTGAACAGAAATCTCCCAAATGCATTTATAAACAGTTAACAGTATCTGTAACCCTTCCAAGCCCAAAATAAGAAAAAAACATTTTGGCTGGAGGTGGGCTTTTACCATTTATTTCTGATAAATGTTTTGTTTCTAGCAAAGAGAACTAGTCAGGTTATCAGTACCTTATTCTATATGCGCTGACATTTCTTTATAGCTGTATTCTTAGAGCGGAACTAAACTCACAGATTTATCTGTTTCCCTAAACAGTTACACTCAAGGCATTTCCCTGATAACTGTCTAGGTCAGTGGTGGGCAACCTTTTTTTTTCAACTGAGCCAAATCTCGCCAAAACCACGATTGAAATTTATTTTGAGAGCCACATTTTTAAAACTGAAAATACATAGGATGGTACACTGTTTTTAGTTTCAATAGGTTTTTATAGTAATTCATCCCCCATATAGTAATTCATCCCCCATAGTATCATCCCCCATATAGTAATTCATCCCCCCTATAGTAATTCATCCCCCATATTAATTCATCCCCCATATAGTAATTCATCCCCCATAGTAATTCATCCCCCATAGTAATTCATCCCCCATATAGTATAGTAATTCATCCCCCATATAGTAATTCATCCCCCATAGTAATTCATCCCCCATATAGTAATTCATCCCCCATATTAATTCATCCCTCATATAGTAGTAGTAAGTAAGTAGCAAGTAGTAAGTCAAGTCCCCCCTGTGTCAATTCACTTACCTTTGCTCCGCGCGTTCCTCTCGCCGTGCTCCCCGCGCCGTTCTGGTCTTCAGGGCGGACTGTGAGAGGAGCCTAGCTCCCCTCACGTTCGTCACGCTGCCCCGCCTACACACATCCTGACAGCCAATCACTAGCTATCAGGATGTGAGTGGCAGCGAGACTGGCCAATCATTGCTGGGCTAGCTGCAGAGTCCTCGGCCACCCGAGAGGAGGGAGGGGAGGGGAGCGGCCGCCCGAGAGGAGGGAGAGGAGGGAGGGGAGGGGAGCGCGAGCGCCCGGCACACAGAAGAGCCGCATTAAAATGTGTAAAGAGCCGCATGTGGCTCGCGAGCCGCGGCTTGCCGACCACTGGTCTAGGTTCCCAGTGTGCTTATGTCAGTTCTCATTTGAACTTCAAATGGCTGGTTTTATAACTAATCACACATTCAGCACCATGGCAACTGTATATTAAACAGAATATAAGATGGCACCTTCCTTGGTTATAAATGATAGGAGGGTTTAGTTCCACTTTAACAGCAATTTGTTGGGGGGAGAGTTCCCTGTTTAATCAAAACGAGGAAAAAGTTATCACAATTTGTAAATGTTACCCTAGGAACTGGCTCACAGGTGCCATTAAGGTAAATACATTCCTGACAAATGGTATACCATCCCTAGGATGGACAGAAGAAGTAAATGTATCAATTACAACATCTATTACATTTTTTGTCTGCTTTGCTCTACAGTAATTATTTGACTGACCAGCACTAATTTTACCTTGCTTAGAACAGCCGTATGTTCATCCCCACAGCTTATATAAGTAATGCTGAGGTTTCTCAAGGAGGTTACTGCATACGGTTTAAATATTCCTGCTAAATGAAGAGAAAAGTATCATTTAAGCTGCTTTCTTAAAGCTTCACATATACTCTTTAACCACTAACTGCAAATTACCTCTCTGAGGAGCCATTTTGAATCCTAGTTGTCCTGCATTATTCTTTCCCCATCCAAAGACAATTCCCGACATAGACAATGCAAAACTCTGGGAACCACCTGCAGTGATCTGAACCAGTGGGACACCTCTAAGGGACTTCACAAGTTGAGGACTGGCATGATCAGATGTTTTATAACCCAGGCCAAGCTGACCAGCATCATTCTTTCCCCATGAGAACACACTGCTGTCTGAAAAAATTAAAGGGCATGTTTCAGCAATAGCTTTCCTGATACAAATAATTCAAGATGTCTTCACTTCAAAAATTCCCTATATGTTATGCTATAAGTTGGAGCTTGTTAAGGGGTATCTATAATGGTCTTTGCCAGTTGTATTTACATTATTTAAAGTCTATCTAAAGTGAAACATTTTTTTTTTCATTTTGAATAGAGTGAGGGAAGGTTAAAACCACTGTCAGTTTCTTCACCATCTGTGTTTCATTAGGACGATTTTTTTATCGTCCTGTACTGTAAACACAGCAGAATGATATTAAACAATTATCCCCTCTGTAAGATTTCCCCTCATTATTGGTGATCAGAACAGTAAGAGAGCATAAATCTCCCCAATGCTTCATGAAAACAATGCAACAGATTCCTCCATCCCTGCTATACAACACAATTGGATGAATCTCCTGCTACACCTACTGTATTCTGACAACTGGCACCTGCACCTGTCAGAATACTGGAACAGTGGCTGTATCTGATTAGATGCAGCATCTGTTTGGCCTACAATTTTCCACACAGCTCCTTTGATTTTTCAATTGAAGTATGTCCATGGGAGGTGGCCAGCAGGGCCACTCACATATCAAATTTTGTCTGGTTCCTCAGGGGACAAGCTTAACCGGGACACAGACAGCAACAGAAACCTGACAGTAGTTTTAACCCATCACCACATCTAAATCAAAAAAAAAAAAAAGCTTTCAATACATGGCAAAACATTTCCAGAACAATATAGGTTTTCTAAAGAAAGAACATGGCAATAGATATCTAATTTCAGATACCTGTGTCTGTCTGTTAAATTCTTAGATAAAGAGGGAGATGAGTCCCCACTCTGACTCATTTAATTGCTGTATACATTCTAGTTTGAGTTATTGGGTTCTGTAAACAGTAGGTTTTGTTTACACCAGGAGAAACATGTAAAAAAGGAAGCCCAAAGCTTCACCTGCTGGTTTCATATCTGAATACATGATATAGGTGTTCAGTGTTTCATATTTGTTTAACTTAAACATATTTTTTACATTTTAATCTTTATTCCTGACCCCAATTAAATAAAAACATATTTGCAAAAACTCTATTCATACTCTTAAATTTTGGCTTATGCTGTTGGGTCTTGTCCTGCCCATGCCCTTCAGATTAGTGTAATACCTCTTTATATCTTGTGTATACAGTTAGTTTTCTAAGGCTTACTGTATATCTCTGACTATAGACATTGAAAAAAATGATCCCTCCCTTCATGTAACATTTACCTTCTGAAAGAGAAACCGTATGGTAGTGTCCACAAGCTACTTGTATGATTTTTATGTCAGATAGCCCAGTGATCCTTCTGTAATGAATAAAGAATAAAAGTGTTAGTAACCAGAACTTGTGCTCTACAGATACAACCGTTTGCTGTGTTATAATTTCTTGACAAAATCTCATTACATTGGGCAGCACAGTGGCTAAATGGGTAGTACTTTCGCCTGGCAGTACTAGGGTCCTTGGTTCGAATCTTAGCCACGGCACCACCTGCCTGGAGTTTGCATGTTCTCCCTGTGCCTGCATGGGTTTCCTCTGGGTACTTCGGTTTCCTCCCACACTCCAAAGACATGCTGGTAGGTTAATTGGCTCCTGTCTAAATTGGCCCTAGTATGTGTATGTATGAATGTAAGTTAGGGACCTTAGATTGTACACCCCTTGAGGGTTAGGGACTGATGTGAATGTACAATATATATATATGTGTAAAGCGCTGCGTAAAATGGACAGCACTATATAAGTACCTGAAATAAATAAATAAATTACAGAATTTGCTGTATGTTAGACGGTCTAATCTAGTATCATGATAAAAACAATGCTGTGTAAAATGAGTAAAATAATAAGTCTCTAGGAGGTTGTATTGTATACTAGACAGCTTGCAACTTGGGCAGGGTTTGCTCAACAACAATCCCACCACTTTCAATAAATCTGCTATGACATTACCCAACTTACCTTGGGATAGGACTTTTTTGAGACACCTGTCCTGATCCAAGTTCTCCATGCAAACCATTGCCCCACGTAAAGATGTTTCCTTCACTACATATTGCCACAGAGTGGTTTGACCCACAACTCATGTCAATAATAGTTTGTGCTTCCAGAGCATGGATTGGTTCTGTCAATAAAACAAAATGCACAACATTTAATACAAACACTAAACATAATGATTCTCATTGAGCTACAAAAAATAGCTGTAGATGCTAACATTCCAGTAGCCATTTTTCTGGTACAAGTTGTCAAATAAGAACAAATGCCTTATGGTCTTAAAACCCAACTCCAAGATCATAATCAGTGATGATTTTCTTGCTTTCATGTTATATTGTATAATAATAATGCTATATTATTGTAGTAATAGCTCACTCACATAACATTACATCTGTGACATCTGTCAACCGATGCTCAGTGCATTCCAAGTTTCCCCTACAGTCAGAAGAACACAGCAATCAGGTGCACATTACTTCTGACCAGCTACTCGATTGTCAGATCAGACTACATTTCCATGAGACCATAGGATTCTGGTAAGATTTGTGCTTGCTTATCGGCATTTCTTCTCTGCCTCTTAATTAACAAGAGACATGGCCATCGGGCCAGCAGCACACTGCTGGAAGTGAAGGGGTGAAGCACAGCTTTGGTGCCAAAGGGGAGGTGCAGCTGTAAAAGGAGGTGTGTGGTGAACACAATTTACCTAATACCACCCACTCCATCCATGGGACCTGTCGTGAGAGATACAATGTTCTTGGTCCACAGAGCAGGATATAGTGAGGATGGATACAAGAAACATTCACATTCAATGAATAAAACATAGGTTATGCTAGGAGGATGTGTTGGCAAGGTTTGAGATATAAAATTAGATTTTTGCCTGGAGTTAGGCTTTAAAGAAAGCCCCGCAGGGGCCGATAAGTATTACTAGCTCCTTCTCAAACAGTGCAGAGGCCACCAGTCATTCAAGCTTCAAATTGACAGTCTAGGGATTGTCATTTTGTATTCTAGTGCTAGAAGAGGAGAGGGGTTGGGATATGCAGGGCTTTTTTCCTCAGAGAATAGGTGCAGGAACTCAACCATACCCCCCACACCCAAAACAACATCCCTCCCACACGCACACACACCAAACGGCACCAAATAGTAGGTGTGGCCAATCATCACTAACAGTGGGAGGGTCTTAAAGCTCAGATTATTTCAAAGTCTCAAAGCTGGGGACCATAAAATCGTTTCAGATTATTTTAAAATTTCATAGCTGGAGATCATAAAATCCTTTCAGATTATTTTAAAGTCTCATAGCTGGGGACCATAAAATCATTTCAGATTATTTTAAAGTTTCATAGCTGGAGACCATAAAATCGTTTCAGATTATTTTAAAATTTTAAAGCTGGGGACCATAAAATCGTTTCAGATTATTTTAAAGTTTCATAGCTGGAGACCATAAAATCGTTTCAGATTATTTTAAAGTTTCATAGCTGGAGACCATAAAATCATTTCAGATTATTTTAAAATTTTATAGCTGGGGACCATAAAATCGTTTCAGATTATTTTAAAGTCTCATAGCTGGGGACCATAAAATCGTTTCAGATTATTTTAAAGTTTCATAGCTGGGGACCATAAAATAGTTTCAGATTAGTTTAGTTTAAAGTCTCATAGTTGGGGACAGGGGCGGACTGACCATTTGGAAATTCGGGCACTGCCCGAGGGCCCGGGGTCAGTAGGGGGCCCCATGAGATGCCCCTGGTACCTTTTTCATAGGCTTTTTTGATTTTGGGCAAGGACACGAGGGCCCCATGATCCCCTATTGCCCGGGGGCCCCATGAGTTGTTAGTCCGCCCCTGGTTGGGGACCATAAGATCATTTCGGATTATTTTAAAGTCTCATAGTTGGGGACCATAAAATCGTTTCAGATTATTTTCAAGTATCATAGCTGGGGACCATAAGATCATTTCAGACTATTTTAAAGTCTCATAGTTGGGACCATAAAATGGTTACAGATTATTTTAAAGTCTCATAGTTGGGGACCATAAAATCGTTTCAGATTATTTTAAAGTTTCATAGCTGGGGACTATAAAATTGTTTCAGATTAGTTTAAATTCTCATAGCTGGGGGCATCTAGCAGTCACAAGAGGAATGATTTTAGGGTGCTGTACAGTTTCAGGCAGTTAGTCTGTTAGGAAAGTGGATGTTCCTAAAGGGCATGACTTATTTGACAAACCTTTTCCCACTATTTTCTAGTATCAGATATCTTAGTGGCGGTACTGTACTGGAAGAAAAGAAAAAAGATTACTCCTTGCTGCCAATGTATTACTGCTCCCCTTGTGTAAGCTGCCGGACACCATTATGTGTTCCCTCTTCCAAATAAGATAAATAAATAAAGAGTGTTGTTCCCAATTTGGCATGTGTATAGTAGAAATAAACTAGAGTGTACATTAACATGTTTATGCAAAATTTGATTTAACTTTTTGACTATCTATATTGCAGAAAAATGGGGTACAAATGTAATTTGTGAAAAAGTAACTGCCCCCCCCCTTGCTAAATCATGAATTAACAATAATTAACCACATTTTTTGGAAAGTTGAGTTAAATTCCAATTGCCACACCAAGGCCCGATTATTGCCAGACCTGTTGAATCAAGAAATCATTTCAAAAAGCAACACATCATGCTGTGATCTACAGAAATTCCAGAACAGATGAGAAACAAAGTAATTGACATGTATGAGTCTGGAAAGGGGTTACAAAGCCATTTCTAAGGATTTGGGACTCCAACGCACCACTGTGAGAGTCATTATCCACAAATGGAGAAACTTGGAACAGTGGTGATCCTTCCCAGGAATGGCCAGCCTACCAAAATGACTCCAAGAGCAGAACGACTACTCATCTAGGAGGTCATAAAAACCCAGAGCAACATCTAAAGAACGGCAGGCCTCATTTGCCTCAATT